TACCTATCCAGAGGCTTTAATGAATTGTCTCCTGATTTCGTCGCCGTAGTCCTCCAGTCTTTACTCAGGCCACTACTACTAAAGCTATTATCATTTCTATTGAATGCTCATCAATTATTTTGTAATGGCCGTTAATTTATGTACACTCTTTACCATATGTTATTGATTCGGGTTCTTTGTGGGATCCACCAACTCTCACTACAGCCCTTCACGTCATGTTTATATTAAACTCTGTCTGTGATCTGAAACACATCGTCGCTGGTTTTTCAGCTCTAATTCGGGTTTTCTGTTCATTGTTTCGTGATCCATACGGTGTCTTAATAAATATTTACAACTTTCTATCATTATTAATGATCTCAAAAAGTCCTGAATATCTGACATCATGAAGCGATACCTGGTGGGAGCGAATAGGATCTATGAAAATTGGTCTAATGATCTTTTTGTAGATGGTTTCCCCAGTCAATGTTGTCAGTACGGATGCCAATCGACCCTAGAGAAAAGGGAAATGTTCACGTTTAATTCAGTTGTTAAGTGACTTCATTACTAATGAATCTGAATGTTTGAAGTAACCTAATAGAAGGGATGTTTTAGGGAAGAAAAAAGAAGGGCCTCAGGGAACTGGGTAATTGGAAAAGAATGAAAAGGGATCGGGAGATGGGAAAGGGAAAGATGGCTAAACAGTTGAAGATCAGGAAATATCAGAGACAATGTTGCTCTGAGCTGGCAGAACAAGACCGTTCCAGGATATCTGATCACTTTGCGAGAACATTTGCCGATTTACCCCTGAGGCGATCTGCAAGGTCGGGGTAGTGGATGACCAAAACTTAGCATGGCTTCTTCCTCACCTTTCTATCATTTTCTCCTCGGGAAACTTACGCACCAAGTGTTTTTCGAAGGGTTTGGTGTTTGTGCTCACTCAGAGATCCTAACAAGCTGGAAAAAATCGAGGGTAACCTTTTGAAGATCGAAATTAATGGGTAACTCTGGTGTGTCAGACTTTACCATGGGAACTTCCCATTGTCATCCATCTTCGACATCGTGGGGAGTCGGAAACGAAGATTGACAGCGGAACTAACTCCGAAATTAGTCGTGTCATATTTGGGGAACACTAAACACGCTTAGAGAGACTTCATCAAAGTCAGAAATCATTCTCTGGGAACAGGATCGTTACTCACCCTGGGAAAAACTGCGAATCATGTGGTGGTCATCCAATGAGAACTGGAAAGCGTTTCTTCAGCTGATGACAAGAAAAATGCAGTTCCTCTGCTTGTCCATAATTCTCATCATTTTGTGAGGTGTAATTCGTCAAGGCGAGAGTGAAAAACTCCTTTCGGAAGAACTGCCCGTCCATTGTGATGAGGAATCTCCAGGCAATACAAATGACCTCTTCACCCGTTCATGTTTGGTCAGTGGGCACTGTAAGAAGTTCTTAGTCAGACCATGAATGGTGTGAACACTTACTGGTCAGATGGCGAAATTTGGTTTTAAATGAACCTNGTCGGGCAGCATATGTCCACTTGACGAACCCCTGAGATCCTCTATAAGCCGCTTTGTGGTTTGAGGTGCACTACTGCCTTCCTGCAGCCAGAGCGAGTCGAATGCATGGCGCACACCGATTGCCAATGGGAACCCTTATCTTTTTTACCATGTGAAGAGCATTGAAAAGGCGAGTCTGTTCGAATTCCTTCCGAGTGAATTATGTAAGAAACCCGATGACCTAGGGAACGTTTAGCTTTTTATTATGGTCCGTTTTGAAAAGTTTTTTTCATAAAATTAATGGCTATGATTCATCCGTTGCCTGTAGTACAGCCTATTTTAGAATGAGGACACCCACACATATACACAAGTCGTTAGGCGAATTGGCAAGGCGTTGGACGGCCGCTAAAGGACGAGACGGTTGATGGTGGAGGTGACGGCGACGGCCAAGTGTTACACACGGGAACCGGCCTTCAGTAACACCTCCCGCTTTGTCACTAACTGATTTCACGTTCTTAAGCAGTATCGATCACCGTCTTTTGTTCTATTTGTACTCGGTTCGTATCGCTTTGCTGAGATCGTGCAAATAAGAATTCAGGTAAGTCTTGCACTATAATGACTCACCTGTCTGGGTGATTTTCCAGTTTTCGCTAACTCTACCACATTCTGAGTAATATTTGAAATTTGGGGGCAAATCGAACTTTAGGGGTTCTTTTTGCGGGAACGGGAGTAGGTGGCTAGAACACGAACAGGAAAGCTGCCCTCCAGAATTCCCTACTTCAGCATAGTAAGGGACTTGAGAGCTCCCGAATGACCTCGCACTCACAAAACCGTTTCCGTTTATTACTGCGAGCTTTACTTTATGTTTTAGATGCGCCTCTACTGCATATTCCTGCTACTTTTACTGGCAGCAGTAGCCGATGCCGGTTTTCTGGATTTCATCTCCAAGCTAACCGGTTCCGGAAGTAGCAGCGGTGGTGGAAGCAGTAGCCGAGGCGGTGGATCGTCGAAGAAGGTTGCTCCCGTGTCCGACGAGAAAGCCAAGGTAAGGCAGATCGGAAAGCTAAATTTAAAGAAAACAAATTATCGTTTCAAGTGTTTCATTAATTAGTCGCCGGGCACTTTCTGCACAAACGAGGTCACCGCGTCGATTATGATGGAACGTATCCGGTTTGGGTAATGGGCAATAACACCTATACAGAACCTCAGCCAAGATTTTTAAGAAAGATTCATACAGACTGCGGAAAGAAAGCAGTTGGTAGAAGGTCAATAGGCAGTTGATTGACTACGAAAACATTAGCTGTTTGGGTTATCCTTCAGAAAAAATTAAACAAATGAGAAATCATTTGGAGTGGGCTACCGCTCTATTTCCCCTGAGAATAGCAAATTTTCCAATGTGTAGCACGGTCAGGCTTTGGTCTCGGGAAGGCGGGGCGTACTGGTGGATAGCAGATGTTTTAGTTTACCCAGAAATCCACAGGGGTTGGTTGCAAGGGACGGAATAAAAATGACCATCGTACAGAAGAACGATTATGAGTGGTAGTTCCCGCGACCTCCAGTGGAGCTTCAAAGCTCAGTAAGGGGTCACTCGAAGCGAAGTTCGTGGCGAGTTTGGACGACTCCGGCGCCTATCATTGGGGCCCAANCGGCGCCTATCATTGGGGTCCAAATCTGAAGTAAGGTAGATTAGTAAGGTCAGCTGATCCTACTACTCTACTGTACTTCGAAATTGGGCCCCAAATAATAGGCGCTAAAGTCGTCAGAATAGGTATGGGTTTCGCCACGCGATTTGCCGCGCGCACCCTCGGACGCACGACTTGACCGTCCCCCGGCTGGAAGGTTGCGACGTCTTCTCGAACTCTGAGTGAGTCTCTGGTTAGCTCTCAGACCCCTTTTCGCGAAAAAACAGCTCAGCAATCGCACAAAGTAAATAGCAAACTTTTTGAAAGGCTTAGAAGCACTCAGTTAGGCACAGCCCTCAGATACCTCTGTTCTGGTAGCCACGGCAATACAGAATGAGAGCTTTTTTCACTACATCATCAATAAAATTTCAGAATCTATAAAGGACCACCCCTTTACAGAGCAAAACAGCAGTAAACCTTTACTAATGGGCATCAAAGAAATGTTCAGTTTTTTTATGAAGATTCACCAATGAATCACTTCTAAACCTGTTCTCGAGGACGGCTGACTCACTGTTTGCATGATCGACTGCATCGTTCCGGCGTTGTTTTTCTTTCGCTCTGATCATTAAATGGCTCAAGGATCATTAATTCGGGCACGGCGAGGCTACCTACGGGTTTTCTGCAGCCGTAAGCCTTCAAAAAAAATTTATTCTTTAAGAGGGAATATTCTTTCTCTTGCTTCTTATGAAAACTCGCAAACGCCAATTAGTAATTGCTGAACTCGCAAATAAGACTTCCAAAATTTTCATTCATCTTTCTCTCAACTTTTCAAGTCTTCTTAAACCTCATCATTCATGGAGAATCGTTGAAGGAAAGGTTGGGAAGATGAGGGTCAGCGAGGTTGAGATAACGGTGGGAAACGGTAACGGTATGTTGGGAGGATGAGTTCGATAGAATCGAACCGATCGAACAGCTCTGAAGCATGTTACTGTGAATCCTAGTTGGAAGTTGGGCGCATGGCGCATTCTGAGATATCAGTCTGTGGAACCTCTTCCTTCACGTTTTCATTCGGTAGCGATGTATTTTCAGAAATATCTCCAAGAATTTGGCTATGTGGCACCGAGTAACAGCCTCAATTCTGCTCCGGGATCGTCTCCCGATTTCAGCGACATAGGGAGCCTCTTCAAACGAGCTATCACGTATGTAGTTCTTGTCGTATTGTTTGCTTAACTCCTTCTAAATGGTCCTTGTAATTTTATCTTTTTAATTGGCCCCCTAGATAGTACTACGGGAGCACACTTCGTCATTGCTGTGGTTTTGCCTTGATCCTAGTGTTCCGTGCAAAGCTTTACGAAAATTTTCCCAAGTAAGGGCTAAGTAGGGCTTAAGCACACCCACAACCCTTAACTAGACAGGTTTTCCCACCCAAACAAACGTACATTATTTTCAGGAAGTTTCAAGAATTTGCTGGTCTGAGACCAACTGGCGTTCTAGATGTGGAGACCAAGAAGAAAATGGCTGAGCCAAGATGTGGTGTGACGGATGTTCTGGCTGTGACTAGTGGAGGTAGGCCTTTGGTGTTAAATAGAGCTCAGAAGTACGGGATAATAGAAACATCGATGGATGGGCGCGGTTATATGTA